ATGAAGACATCTACAGGCGTGTAGCTGTGTGTCGACCATGGCATGGCTAGAGGATAGAAGAACAAACAAAACACAAAAATTTAACAGATTTTATTGAACTAGAAAAGCACTTTCATTACATTTGAAATTGAAATTTTAAAGAACAAAATGAAAAATTTAAATCTTTGGCGCTGTTACAAAATCATCCACTTATCTTACGCTAAGCTGGTGCATTTTGACTGGACTGAAGCGAGGATGGGCAGGTGCTTCAAGTGGAGGTCCCAGTTATGAGGGGTGACCTCACATTTAGTGGCTTCAAAAGTAGTTGTAGGCGAAGGATGCAGTGAAGTTGAACTTAAACGTGATCTTCATTAAGGATGAAGCTGTAAGTGATGGCGCAGCCAAGGCACATGCATGGGTGAAGGCACGTCAAAGTGATAGGCCAAGCAAGGCAAAGTCAAAGACAAAGGAAGGCAAAGTCAAAGACAAAGGCAAAGGCAAAGTCAAAGTCAAAGACAAAGGCAAAGGCAAAGGCAAAGGCAAAGGCAAAGTCAAAGTCAAAGACAAAGCCAAAGGGAAAAGGGGTGGCCCCAATCTGAAAAAGAACCGTGTGCATTAGCAACGTGCCCAATGGCCAAGGCATTTCCAATCTCAGTCTGCCTGAAAAGAGAACCAACGATTTTCTAGGTTAGAATTACATTACATAGTTTGATAAAATCAAACCGAAAATTGGAAATGCCTTTCATAAAATAAAATCATGAAATAGCAAAAAAAGCGTAAAACAAGATGGTGGTCATCAAAAATGTCTCCACATGCTTCTGATATAAAAACACAAATATCGAATATTCATAATCAACGTACTTATAATTTCACTGAACAATGAATATATATATATACGCACACAGAGGTAAAATCGATGTGGATCGATTTCTACCTCGATTTGATTAAAGTTATGGCGAATGATCGAAGTAGTCGAAAATGAAGTTCGATGGATATTCTAAAATCGTACAATAAATAAACCACTTACATATCGATTATCTATAAACTACAGGCAGATCCAGCAATAAAACTGTATAGTATTATAAAACTCAGCATTTTATCCTATTTGGACACACATTTTACAAAATGCTAGTGCATGGTGTTATATGACCTCATGCTACAGAGAACAAAATTCTCAGCTCTTGTTAGATCGGCGGCTCAAGTGAAAAGGAAGCACGAGGAAGATCACAGATCAGGAACTCCGCATCAAGCGCGCTCCAAGCGGAAATGTTTCCAAGTAAAAAAGCTAGAGATGGGATTAATGAGTGGCGATTCTGAAATGAAAATCGAGAAGTGATTTATTAAATACAATCGGACGGTGAAACCGTTACAAGAGCCGGAAAAATTCGGGAGATTCTAGTGCGCCTTCCTTAAAGTCCTTTTTGCAAAATACAATCTATTTCACGGCCTACAGGTCGAACGGCTTGATGGATTTTGACGTATGACTTGTTGTTTGACTGATCTTGGCAGTGCGGGTGTTGTTGGCTATATTAACTTTTTATAAAAACAAAACGACGAATTTAAATAGAAAAGGTCAATCTTGAAATTCCCGTTTCTCAGGCTTCAGCTTGAACGGCTAGACGGATTTTGATTAATGAGGTGTCAGGGTAAATCTTCATTCTAATCATTTACTGCAGTCCGACTGTATGATGTAACGGAATCTTTGAGCATAATTTTAACCAATTTCCAAAAGTTTTATTAATTTGAAACTTCGCACACGTATCAGGACCGACGACAATGCAATAATTTGATAACAGATTTCCATTCTCCATATTAGGACTGCCAGGATTGATAAATTCTTTTATAGATCCTCTGTAGGGGAGTAAAAGAGATAGAGCTAGCTCGCGATCAGCGCATGCGTGCAGTTTTGGACTTACTCTCTGTTGGTTCGAGCACTTGGCACAACACCACGGAGGCAGATACTTTTTCAAGGTAGTGCATTCTCACCCTGTTCATTGCGAATGTTGCCATTAATCCTAAGTTGCGCTTCGACCGTCCACAAGATGCAAGGTTGTACAGTCGATCATGCAGTCACTTATTTAGGCTCGCGACTGTTTGCTGCTGGACAAGCTTAGCACTTAGTCATGTAAGATCTTTATTTATTTATTTATTTGCGGTTAGTACACTGCTCGAACAGATGATTCCATTTAACGAACAGGAAATATACAAAATACAAAAAAAAAGAAAAAAAAAATCAATAAACAACGTATCAAGTACATTACACACATTACATCTAAATAAGTTCTTGACCTACAGTCAAAAACGACATTTTTAAAAGTGATATAGTGCAATGAAAAATGTCTACTAAATTCTTTACTTTTTCATAGTTGTTACACATTACATATAATGGCGAAAAAAGTAACACATTGGTACGAGGCACAGGTAAATAGAAATTGGTATTGTTAAACCTTATGTTTCGGTACGGTACGTGTAATGACAGCTTTTCTAAAAGAAACTGGCAATCAACTGTGTTGTTCAAAATTTTATATAAGAAAACCACAGCGCAGTAATTTCTACGCTTAGCTAAATTTACCATATTAAATCTACTGAGCAATAAGTCATTGCGAAATCCAGCCTCAGGATAAATCCCATCCTCCTTGAACCATAAATATTTAGCAAAACGTCGCTGGATTGAATAACAATAAAAGAGTTTTAGCATTATTGAAGCTCTTGCCACACCTAAGTATGAAACCCATCGTCTTGTGCGCACCGGTTACAATTTCAGTAATGTGTTGCACAAAAGTTAACTGTGGGTCGAAAGAAACACCTAGATCCCTCACAATGGAACAACCATCCAAGACTTGACCATTTATGTGATAAGCATAACCAATTATATTCTGCTTACGTGTGAAAGACATAGTCTGGCATTTTGTAATATTCAGATACAGCTGATTCAGGCAACACCACTCATACAGACGTACTAGTTCATCCTGAAGCTTCACACAATCGAAAATTGTGTCAATTCTAGAAAATAATTTCAAGTCGTCTGCGTACAATAAGTTGCAACAATTTACTTGGCCACTGAGATCATTCACAAATATAGCGAATAATAGCGGACCTAGGACGGAGCCCTGGGGCACCCCAGATGTCGCAGAAACACTGACATACCTAAAACCACGGTACTCAACGAAAAGTATTTTGTCCAACAGATAAGATCTGAGGGAATTTGCGAATCCAAGTGATATACCACATCTTAAAAGCTTCTGTATTAGTACTCCATGATCAAGTCTGTCAAATGCTTTTGAGAAATCCGTATAAATAACGTCAATCTCTCCGCAAGTATCTAAAATTTCAGCAGCATGCTGTTTGAAACATGCAAGATTAGATGTAGTCGATCTACCAGGAAAAAATCCATGCTGATGTGGAGTGATGATGTGTTTCATGTGAGTGAATATGATTTCGTGAAGAACAGATTCAAATACTTTAGCAATATTGCTTAGGATCACAATAGCTCTATAGTTTTCAATATTATTTCGGTCACCTTTTTTGAAAACAGGAGTAATGCGAGATTTTTTCCAAACCTTAGGATAACATCTCTGTTCCAAAGATAAATTAAATAGAAAAGTGGGAGGCTCAACGAGCACATGACAACAATCTTGAAGTAAAAAAGAATGTTTTGAATCCGGACCAGTAGGGCATTTGGATCTAAGTTTAGATAAAGCAAGGTTGACCTGATCTACTGTGATTTTAGGTCAGTCGCATAACTGACCATTACAAGACACACCAGAGACTGTGTCACCCGTGCCAGAGGTTATGAAATTAGACTGAAAGAATTTAGTGAAAGCATTGACAATATCAGGTGGTGAATTCAGATCAACGTCATCCAAAAACATATGACTAGGTACACCGGTGACATTTCTAGCTCTGTTAACATATGACCAGAAACTATTTGGACTGTTAGAAATATTCTGTTCAACATTGGAGGTATATCTATGAAATGCACGATCCAGCTCAATCTTGATACTCCTTCGAAGCTCTTTGAATGCATCAATATCATGTGCATTGCACGTTCGTTTACAACGCTTCCATAATCTCCGTTTTCTTTCAATCTTGGCAATTATTGAGCGGGAGGACAATTGATATCTCTTGGCGTTGTTACTGGTATATGAATATCAAACAGAAAGTGCAGAATTTGGTAAAAACTGTCACAAGCAAGATCAACCTCTTTTAGTCCATAAAGGGACGAAAAATCTGCATTAAAAATATCATTGTACAAAGCAAGAATATTACATTTTTTTAAATCATAGGAAGGGATATTATTAACCTCAAATCTACAGGAAGCGGTATGAAATGAGTTCCAAAGGCGGATGGTGACTGTCAATGGGCAACAAGATGTCAAATGCTTTATTTACCTCTATATCGGTTCTACTGAATACCAAATCTAAGACACGATTATGTTCATTTCGGATATGAGAGTATTGCTTCAGATTCAAAAGGTTTGCAAACTTTTGCACAGCCAAAATTTGATTGTTGTTGACAAGGTTGTTGTCCATATAATCAACATAACTTGGTATATTAAAATCACCTAAGAGGACTAATTCATTATCAGAATTAAAATAATCAACTGCCAGAATATCACCAAAAACTGACTCATAAATGTCTGCAGACAGATTAATAGTAACAATATCGACAGATGATACACTGCGTATCAAGTCGATTTTACTGACTTTGAATGAACTATGAACTGCTACTAGTACACCTCCGCCTCTGTTAACGCCCAGTGCATCATAATTCCTGTCTGACCTGTACAAGGTGTAGTTTTCTCGCTACTAGTTCAGAGTCATGTATAGAGGCATTAGCCCAAGTTTCAGATAGTGCAGTGATATCATACGCACAAGAATAGGAAGCATTACAGCTTTAGTCCTGAGACCTCTCACATTCTGATAATATATACTTAAGGCATGAGAATTCTGGTCAATGTTGGGTTTATCCGTGACGATTTTAGGAGCTACATTTGAGATGTCCGAGTACAGCAGTGATTGCTACTCATTACCAAACAAAATTTTCTTATACTCTATTAGTTTATCCTTATAAAACTTACATTCACTGGAGTCCCACGCAGCATGATGTACATCAGGATATCTAGCATTGACACAGTTGTTACACTTCAATACCTGTTCCGAGCATTCAGAGATCATATGACGTTGAGAACACTTTACAAATACTTGCCTATCACTTTTACAAAATTCTGCATAATGGTTTAAACCACAACATTTAAAACAAACTTTTAAATCAACAGCATCATATACTTTACAACTATCAAAATTTACAAGAACATGTCCCCGTTCCAATAACTTTAAATACGTAGGGTTATCAACATCAACTATAGCTTGAAAAACTCCGGGTGATTTCTTAGTAGGCCATAGTTTTAACACTTTACATTCACTGGAGTTCTTAAGTACAATGTTCTGCGCAATCAAATTAGAGTGCAATTCGTCTAGCGACATGCTTTCAGAAATGCCCACGATTTTTAATCTAGGGTTGTTCCTCTTGATCTCCCTTACTTCATATTCATCTGAGAGATGCTGGGACGCTAAACTCATGAGTTTTACAGCATTAGTAAAACTGTTACACTTTATTAACAAACCACCATCTTTGACATGCTTCACTTGTGAAAATCTGATGCTGCTGTCGACTGGATTAACAGCCTGATATATTTTCAGTTTGGTTTCAGTGTTAGATTGACCTGCATTTTTTGTTTTCACCAAGACATTGACAATATTATTTCTCACAGCGTTTGCATAACTAAGTGACTGGCCAGACGCGACACGACAATCAACACTAGATTCCAGTTTTTCTTCAACTTTAACCATTAACTTAGATTGTGCCTCAGAAAATAAATCAAATACATTAGTAACCAGTTTGTTGACCCTTTCTTCAAAATTAGTTTTATACCATTCTTCATAATTCTTTTTGCGTTCAGTGCATTCCACACAGTACCAAAAAAGTCCAGGCGTTTTAATCACTTTTAGAACCTCAGTCACGACTCCAACACAGAAAATGTGGTAGCTATGCTGGCAAAAACCATCACAAGCAATGCTGGGTTTCAGACGGCTAAACGCCAAATGGCAGTGACCACATGAATTTTCCATTATTTAGGATATTGTCAATCAATTTTCGTGCATAATACCTGCACACAATGAAATAACCTAGTTTACTCATGCATTGGAAACTCACTCCACTATTTTCATATGCGCATAACCACTGACAAATCACAAAAAACTGTTATTGAACGGGATAGACTATGTTTACCGATTGTGCTGGTAGCTCTTTATATTGGGCGGTATTCGGAAGAACTTGATTGCTCTAAGTAAACAGGAAAAACCCCATGCAACAGTGAAGCTTTAAATGAAACGACTAGGTTACGAAATGTTCGTAATACATTTCAATACCACATATCCACAAAAACTAATTGATTAATCGAACTAAAAAATGAAAAATAAATAATAGTTAAAAAAATAAAATAAACGTTCTTTTATAGCTTACCAAACTAAAAAGTAGAATATATATATATATATATAAATAAAGAGAAAATGATCATGCGGAGAAAGGTATATAACAAAAAGTAGGAAAATAATGGGCAAAATCCGCAAAAACAGGAAAGTGGATTCGAGCGGAAAATAGGATAGGTAACCCGAGCGATGCGTATTTCTGATGGTTGGCTTCATCAGGCCCGAAATGAATGCACATATGAAACTACAAAAGTAGATATACACATGTCCACAGATCAGGATACGGGTGTAACCTGAGGAAACGAAGTTGGAGGGGGAAAAACGACACACGAAGTCCACAACAAGAGCCAACCTTCACACTGTAGTATAAAATAGCTAGAACACCTCGAATTTTCAAGGATACATCTAACCACAACCACGTGGCCGGTTTAGCCACTTGCTGTGGTAGTTCAAGCTCAAAGGATCTACAAAGAGAAAATGATCATACGAAGAAAGGTATATAACAAAAAGTAGGAAATAATGGGCAAAATCCGCAAAAAAGAGGAAAGTGGATTCGAGCAGAAAATATGATAGGTAACCCGAGCGATACGTATTTCTGCTGGTTGGCTTCATCAGGCCCGAAATGAATGCAGATATGAAACTACTTTTTTTTTAAACTATTATTTATTTAGCATTATATTTGTTTTATATCGTAGTAGGTTAGTATAATTATGGTATTTTGAGCTTTGTTCCATAGATGTTAGAAATAGCTTAGTATACGGGTTTACTGCAGAATTCAGTTACAATATTAAATTAGGACTGGAACCTTATTTTGAGGCTACATTTCTTAAACATTGATATCTGATATACTTTTCTATTCTATTACAAGAAAAGCACATTTTTAAGACATTTAAAACGTACAACATACATGTTTGTATAAGGTAGGCAATACGTATCTCCAAGCCGTCACTATTTCTGAAGACTACCTAATAGAATTGCTGTCATGTCATGTGGCCAGCTAAGAATGCGAGGTACTCTATTTGGGAGCCTAACCATCGTAGAGGCTTGCGGCAAAAACAGTTATTACTAAAACAACCAAGAGAAAAATCTGGAAAATATATATTAATCTAACAAAAAAATCTGATCTTCAAATTCGAGGGTAATCTGAACCTTTTTTGTTTGACATTTTTTGCTGTATCCCTAAAAATAAAGTGGTCAGGGGTATTCAAAGAGTTCCGTAAAAAACACCCTGTACCTTCGAAACGGCTGAGCTGATTTTAACAAACCGGAGCTAGTTGAAAAGATGAGAAGAGCTATTCTTGAGCTACAAACGTTATAATATTTGAAGTTTTGATAGTTTCACATAGCGCCGGTAGAGAGCTTTTTTGACACTCCGACAGAAGTTTTTTATTTTCTCAAAAAAAAAATAATTGCATTAGTATAATTTTTTTTTGCAAAATAAACTTGATAATTTCTAAACAAGCTCGCGGAAGCCGCATCTAGATATTTTGTTCCTAACCTAAAATTTAGACCAAAGAAAATTTCATACGTAAATCCCTTAAATTTTTATTTCTCGAAAGTAATTTTTCCGGAATTTCTTTTATTATCAAGTTGTGTCCCTAAAAAGGACCGATTTAAGGAATAAAGGTTTCTTATGCCCCAGTAAATGCTCGAGAAGCTGACCATCACGCTCTATACATTCCTGAAGCCTCTCAAGGGTAGACAAAACTGGAGCTTTAATTTCGACTCTCGGTATGTTACGCATTGCATTACGAATCAGGTTTTCATCAAGTCAAGTTAAGTCTGGTGATCGGGAAGGCCATAGAAATAGGCTTTCTCTTCCAGTCCTCCGCTATTGAATATGCTCTCACACAATGATGGTAAAATGTGCTGGCCAACCATCCAACAGCAAAAACAAGATTTGTCGTGTTTCCACTGGCACATCTTCCAACAACAACGGTAATTGATTGTCCAAAAAGTCAAAACAGACATAGCATTTAGGGATTGCTCGAAAAAATGTGGCCCAATAATTCTGCCTCCCAGTATGCCACACCCCACATTTAAACTAAATGCCATTGCGAGTTTTCTGCAGACCAATAATGCATATTGTGCAGATTGACACTCCCGTCACTAAAGGTGACTTTATCTGTCCAAAGAATTTGAAATAAAAATTCGGGTATCATGCCTACCATCCAATGGCCTCATTCAAACCGACATGATGATGACATTAGAACTTAGCTATGGCCAACTCATGGAATAATTCCTTTGTGCCAGCATGAGCATTTCCTTCTATATATCCCAGTACGCGGTTAATATTTTCTTGTCTTCTTGCAGTTGAAACGTAGGCCAAAAACTACCATTGGTTCGTAAGCTCGACACTATTCGGGAAAATACTCTCTCATCGCAAACACGCCGATTTGGATATCGAGTCGCGTAAACTCTTTTTGCTACTGTGGCATTCTGAAGACATTCAAAATAAACTTACAGCTTATCACCAGCTTCATCGTTCGTAAAACGCATTTGTAAGCACAAAAATTGCTCAAAGTAACGCGAAACTATTGACAACCATTAACAATTTGAGGATTATTTATGATTTGATTAGGTATTTGTTTTGATGTATTCTATGGCCTTTTGTTATTAGCATTACTAACCTTCTAGCGATATTTTGTAAAAAGGGTGATTTTATTCTAATGAATAAAAAAGAATACCAGAGCAATGTTTTTTTTTGCACAAACGCGAAATACACGTTATTTACGTTACTTTACAATATTTGCTGTATTTTGTTTCATAGTTTTCCCTGTTCTTTGAGTATTCATGTGAAAAGTAAAGAGCAAATAAAAATTGCAAAAAAACAATACTATGTGGCTTCAGTTTAAGCTGATATGGTAGCTGCTCACTGAGGTGCTTTTTTATGAAAAAGCGTGTAATAGTAACATTCTGTATATAAAAATGAACTACTGAAGAAGTCGGTTGATATTTAATAAAAAATCATCCAAATCAGGTAACTGATTCGGAAAAAATACGCTGTAACCTTGGCTGTTTCTTTGATGGTGCATTATTGTGTTTGTCTTTGATTTACGCAAGTTGTGTGTATTGCGTTCAAACCTGATCGAGTAATTCAATACTCAGCGAAACCGAGTATTTGGTAACGGGTAGAAATCGAGTACTCGGTGCATCCCTACTGAGCACCGCCTATTAAACAACAATCAATCATGCCTGTAAATGCTAATAATTTAAAGATAAAAGAGAAATATTGCTATAAAAATTAGTATTAATTTCGTTTGTTTGTTGATGTTTATTTAATATTCATGCTACAATGTCAATTTTATATAATTATTCGTTTACCCATGTTTTTGAATCGATTTTCTGTAATTTAACATTCTTTAATGTCTACTAAAATTGCATCATTATACATTTTGAGTATTCTTAAAGCGATTTTTCAATTTCATCTTACACATTTCTAAAATTTGAACACCGTTTAATATCTTTATTCAATTTATTAAATTCAAATAGTCCCTTTTGAAATGCAGATTTGATAGTTATGTTACCTATCAGGCAACCAAATAGGTTCGTGCGGTTTTTAGTAGAAAAATATAAATTTTTATTGAGAAACAATAGGACACTATTTATTCGTCTAAGTAATTACCATCACATTTGTTGACCTTTTGCCAACTTGGAACCAATTTTTGTATGCCGGTATTGTAGAACTCCCTGGATTTGGACTCAAAAAATTGGCGGACTGCATTTATTATACCATCTCGAGTTGTGAACTGTCGGTGCCTCATACAGTTGTCAAGAGACAAAAAAGGTGATAATCACTGGGCGAAATGTCGGGAGAATATGGCGGGTGCGGTTCAGCCGAGTTCAGAAATTTTTTCTCGGGTCGCTTTTGCGGTATGAGGCTTGACGTTATCCTGCAAGAATATCACTTTCTCCCGATGGATCAAAGAAGGCTGTTTCTGGATGAGTGATGCTTGTACTCGTTGAAACTGCTCACAATACATGTTAGCAGTGATGGTTTGACCCCTTTCCAAAAACTCATAATGGACAATTCCAGTTTCTGTCCACCAAACACACAACAAAACCTTGTTTGGGTGCAAGGAAGCCTTGGGCGTGTGTGGTACCCGAATTAGCAGGTGACAACCACTGTTACGCACGCTTAGAATTTGAACACAAGATCCATTTTTCGTCGCAGGTTAATAACCGATTAAGAAATGGTTCATTAGCGTTGCGTAAAATGTTTGCTGAACAAATAAATAGTAAGACAACTTAAATTGTTATCAATTGTCAGTTCATGTGCGACCCATTTGCTTAACTTCCACGTCTTTCATAGCTGATGAAGATGCAAACGAATAGTTTCAGGACTCACTCTGAACATTTCTGCAAGTTCTTGGCACGTTGTCTTGGAATTTGCGTCCACAACCTGTCGAAGATCCTCGTTGTTCATAAATTTTTATCTCCCTGACCGCGGTTCATCGCTCAAACTGAGATCTCCCGAAGAAAGCTTTTTGAACCACTTCTGTGCTGTTCGATCACTAACGGTATCATCTCCGAATGCGGTACATATTTTTCGGGCCGCCGCTGCAGCTTTTGTACCAATTTTGTACTCATACAGTAAACAACTTCGAATTACTGTTTTATTCGTCGCCATTTTCAATTCT